AGAACGCTTTCATGATGCAAAGAAGCCTTTAACCATGCAAAGGGTTCTTTGAGTTGGTTCTAAATAGAACCATTTTCTTTACTAAAGATCCCTTGAAGAACCATGTTTTTTTTAAGTGCGATATCAGGCTTGTTACAATAGAAGAACTTTTTTTGGTGCTATATTTCAAAATGGTTCCCTTTAGAACATCTACAGCATGTTCTCCATCAATCGGGAGAACTTTTCATGATGCAAAGAGCCCTTTAATCATGGAAGGGGTTCTTTGAGTGTTCATGGTTCTATGTAGAAACATTTTCTTTATTAAAGAACTCTTGAAGAACCATCAGTTTTTAAGTGTGATGTCAGGCTTTTTAGAACAGAAGAACGTTTTTGGTACTATATAGAACCCTTTTCAAAAAGGTTCTATACAGAACCATTCTCCATCAATCTGAAGCACCATTCATGATGCAAAGAAGCCTTTAATGACGCAAAGCGTTCTTTGAGTTCTATATAGAACCATTTTCTTAAAGAGCCATCTTTAGTGTGTATTAAAGAAGGATGTTATGCATCTCAAAGACAGTCTGTGACTGAATTTTACGCTCAGTGCTCAGACGCGTGTATGAAGGCCAACACTGACACCTTCTGGTGGAGTTCAGAATTCAGAATTCAGCAGTTCAGCTCATTTTCACTGAACTCAGAAACATGACCTGTGCTTTCTGACAGCAGCAGCACAGATTTACACTGAGAACGTATTTAAAAACCAAACAGCTCCTGAGGATTTTAACGCTAACAACGCGGCCTAAACTTAAAGCACACCTTCTGTTTATAAGCTGAATAGAGGCAATGTTTTTAATAATAACACCATATTTGTCATAGAATTCAGTTCATACAAAACTGAACTAAACTGAACACAGTTTTAAGCACCCAGAGGATGTTTTGTTTGTTTTGCTTTGTTTTCCTGGCTTGTCTGTATTTTGCTAAATGTTTCTTATAACATTTTATAACGTTTTGATTATTCTTAAAATTTTATCACTGGAAATAATATTATCATTGTAAACAATAATATTGATTATTTTTGTTGTATTTTATGTTTATTACTTTTTATATTACTAAAGGTATTATTACAATTATGCTAAATTGTTATTTTTCACATCTTTATTACTAATATTGTATCTACATTTTATATAGGTTTGTTTATTTTTTGTTTTTATTAACTATATTGTTAAAATTATGCTACATTTTAACATAATTTTTTTTAAAGACTGATAAAAAAAATGCAATAATTCCATTTTAATTTAAGCAAAAGGTTCTGTAAGTGATGCAGTAGAAGAACCACTTTCGGATTCCCTAAAGAACCTTGTTTGAAAAAGATTTGTGAATGTGAAGAATCTTTTAAAAGCTTAAAGAACCTAAAAAAACTTTTAATACAAAGCTTCTATACTAATTTAATGGTTCTTCCTAGAACATTTCCTAAGTAGAGGTTCTATAAACTGTAAAAAAATGTTCTTTATTAAAGAACCATCCATACAGAACCATTATCAAAAAGGTTCTATACAGAACCATATACAACACATTCTCCATCAATTTGAAAAACCATTTTACCTTGAAAAAGATCCATTTACGCATTAAATGGTTCTATAGAGAACTCATGGTTCTAAACAGAACCATTCACTTCACTAAAAAACCCTTGCAGAACCAGCCTTTTTTTTTTAGACTGTGGAGGTTCGATAAACTTTAGAAAGATTTTTCACACTCACATATCTGCCTAACAAAAATGGTTTTCTAAAGAACCATCCATTGGAAGGTTCTTTAGGGAACCAAAAATGGTTCTTTTAAGGCAAAAAAACAATTCAAGGGTTCTTTCTAAACCTTTATATTAAGTGGTTCTAAAAACTAAAAGTTCTTCACTTATGCACCTCCCTAACAAAACTGGTTCTCTAAAGGCCTATCCATATAGAACCATTATCAAAAAGGTTCTACACAGAACCATATACAACACATTCTCCATCAATCTGAAGAACGATTTCACCATGCAAAGATCCATTTAAGCATGAAATGCTTCTATATAGAACTCATGGTTCTAAACAGAACCATTCACTTCACTAAATAATCCATGAAGAACCAACTTCAAGAGTGCAGAGGTTCTATAAACCTTAGAGAGATTATTCACACTTACATATATCCCTAACAAAAAAGGTTCTCTAAAGAACCATCCATTGGAAGATTATTTAGGGAACCAAAAAACGGTTTTACAAAGGCAACATACAGGTTCTTTACCAATTCAAAGGTTCTTTTCACAACCTTTACATGAAGTTTAGGTCCTATAAACTTTAAAAAAAGGTTCTTCACACTCTCTAAAGATTCTCTAAAGAACAACCCACTGAAAGGTTCTTTAGGGATCCAAAAGTGATTCTTCTAGAGCATTGCACAAAGAACCCTTTCTGGCATCTTTATGTACTGCACAGACTGAATTATGACAAATTCAATTAATGTTGCATAACTGCTCCATGAAATCCTGCTAAAGTAAAAATCACAACCTGCTCCATCAAAACCCAGTAAAATGAAACGGAAACATTTCACAGCTCTTCACACATGAGAACCAAAAGCTGATCACACCAAAAATGACAATTTACATGTTTTTTTACATCGTATTTCACAATAAAATCAACAGAAATGACACCATGTTGTTGCAGTTTGACTGTACAGATTTATTCTTTGCGGCTGTGGAGCTCACAGGTGGACGGAAGTCTGGAAGAAGTTCCAATCTGAGTACATCATCTTGCTCTACGAATAATCACGCAGGATCACTTCTGCGATTAACTACATTAACGTAGCACTACGAGGGATTTTCACAGTGTTCCAGGGTTTAACTGAACATGCAAGAAGGGTTAAATTGATTTTGAGTGTGATTAATCTGACTGCACTCAGCAGCGCTGAGCAGCTACACCTACTCTACTGGAGCTTTTCATTATTATTATTATTGTTATTATTATTATTATTATTATTATTATGTTGGTATATTATCATGTATATCACCATGCAGACATTAGCAATAACGTTATAGGAGTAACCTTACTGAAATGAAAGCAGGTGTGGATGCTAAAATGCCAACCACTCACTTTTTTTGTGCTTGCTTTCACCAATTTAGTTGCACTTTTTAAACTACTGAGGGCTGTAATGGAGCGATGGAGATAAAGGAACGTAGAACAATGAAGAAAAATGCTATTTTGGGAAGTTAAAGCATCTTAAATGTAGTTCATATATCTTACGTTTCTCATAACCAGAATGTTGTAAGACTAGAGGTGAGTGGGGCACAAACTAACACAGGATTAAACGTCCCATAGATGTTTTATGTGCACACTTAAAAGATTTCAAGGATTCTTTAGTTAAGAAAATGGTTCTATAAAGAATCATGAACACTCAAAGAACTCTTTGGACGACTAAGAAATTAATAATCTTAAGAATGTGCTGTAGAGGGTTCTATATAGAACCTTTTTGAAAATGTTTCTATAAAGCACCCAAAAGGGTTCTTCTATTATAACAAGCCTGATGTCGTAACAATACAAGAACCCTTTTTTGTGCTACATAGAACGCTTTTTGAAAAAGGTTCTATGTAGAACCATATACAGCACATTCATGCACATTTTCAATCAGTCTGAAGAACCCATACCTAGGCTTATATAGAACCATGAATACTCAAAGAACCCTTTGCACGATTAAAGGGCTCTTTGCATCATGAAAGGATTTTGTCAGATTGATGGAGAATGTGCTGTAGATGGTTCTGTATAGAACCTTTTTGAAAATGGTTCTATACAGCAGCCAAAAGGGTTCTTCTATTGTTACGGTGTGAAGCCTGGAACAATAGAAGAACGCTTTTATATGCTACATAGAACCCTTTTCAAAAAGGTTCTATATAGAACAGCCTATAGCACATTCAGGCACACTTTTGATCAATCCGAAGACCCGTTTCATGATGCAAAGAACCGTTTAAACATGCAAAGGGTTGTTTGAGTGTTCATGATTCTATATAGAATCATTTTCTTTAAGAAAGAACCCTTGAAGACCCATCATTTTTAAGAGTAAAGCCTGGAGAAATGAGTTCAGACATCTCATGGTTCTTTGATCTGAGTATGACGTTAGTCGGAAGCTTATTTGTATATTAAAAGATTTTTTAACCTTTAATTTAGTGAAACTTCCAACATGTCAGGCTCCAGTCCTCATGGGTCAAACACTGCGGACTTCAGTAAACACTGCCTCATTAAACACACCTGATTCAGCTCATCAGCTAATTAGCAAGGCCTTCCTGAACTGAATTCAGGGTAAACACTAATCTCCGAAGAACTTTGGCCCGGAAGGTCCCCAGTTTGTTATTCCAGGTTTAGTCCAAGGAAGGAAGCATAAAAAATGTTTGCACCAAAAATAGCAATCTTTCTCAAACACTTTATATTTGGCTAAAAATAAAAAATGTTAAGATTGTGCCGCACTCTTTCCAACTGTAAGATAAATTATATGATTATAAGGTTATTCAACCTATTTGATAAAGAAATATTTTTCCTTAAGCACCTTAATGAAGTGAAATTGTGTCACTATATCAGATCAATACTGAAAAAAATAAAAGCATTTCTTTTATTTCGTTGATACTAGGAAAGTTATCTGCCACTGCCAGCATTTACAAACAGGTATTCTTATATTATCTCATAATGAGTAATTTTAGCTATATCGCCTACATTTAAGATGCTTTTCAATGCTAAAATATGATTGGTTTTGCAGTGCAATGGGACTCCTATACAGAAACAACAGGAGAACAAACACATTTCTAACAAATTTATGGTGAATTTCAGAAAATCTGTGATATTTCAGCAGATATGAGCAATGTTACGTAATAAACAGTATATGAGTGATGAATCAACACCCCAAAGGTTGAAATTTGAGGCTGTTATTCTACCTGTATGAATTAGTGCTGTAAGTAGACAGAGAATGGACGCTCATTTTTAAGCACCGGTATAAAAATGGCACTTCCCTTTGGGTTTAACAGCTAACTAACAATGCTTTTATTTTCTATATACCATAAACCATGAAATATTACACAAGATTGCACTATATTTGGCACAAAATGGTGAAAAAGGCCACTAAATCTCATCTACACAGTATTTGCTTGGTGAGGATTTCATTTTTGTCATTAAAAATAGTCATCTGATGGTCACTTCAGGGCTCATGCAATGCAGAAAAGCAGCACAATCACTCTAAAATCATTTACCCTCATACATTTCTTAACAAAACTATGTTAATCACATCTCATCTCCACTCTCCTCGCTCTGTTACTACAAAGCCATGCAAGAACACAAAAAAGCAGTACAAAAATAAAAAAAAAAAGAAGCTTCTGACCCCATAAAATCTCCAGTTCTGAGGATAGAAGCTTGCTCTGCTTATGTTCATGTGCTGGTGGAGGTACTGACATGAAGAAATAAATATATAATACAACTATGTACAAAGTAAGATGAGACACAGTGCTTTTCTTTTAAAGCGAAAAGTTCCTCTGCCCTGCGGCCTTAGAAAATGCTCTGTCTGTAAGTGAGTAAGTGTGTAAGTGTGCGCTCAAGTGTTGTAGGATCATCAGTTCACCGGCCAGTTGTGACGATGGCTAATGCCACTAGGGGGCAGTGTGGGGGATTGTTTCAGCTCAGAAAACTTTGGTCCGTTTGCTTCCCAGAGAGCCATGCTGTGAAGGGAGGGAAAAAGAGGAACAGCGAAAAAAGTGAAAGAAGTTGTAAATAAGAACAAACACTCAGTTTAATCAGTTGTCATATTAACTGGGTACCACTTAACTGGCTACCTACACAGGGACTTAACAGGACATGCATAAGCTTTAGGCTACATTAGCTGCAGATCATTGTTCGACCTCTTTCAGTGTCCCCAAAAGGTAGGTTTTTAAAACTGCCTATTTGTTTGAACCTGACACCAAGGGTTTTTTTGTGTAACCGCTGACCAATAGATTGCTGTTGGAGAAAAGGGGCTAGAATGCACATTATGTTGCAGTGCATGCTGGGGACTATAGTGCAGCTCAGGCTGATAATAATAGAAAAGTAATATAATTTTCGAGGCCAAACAGGGTTGTGCCACAGGCCTGACTTGGCCTGTGTGCCGTGAGTTTGACACATGGGCCTTAGATGTTCCATTATTTGGGAATAATGCTTCTTAACAGTGTTTATAAATGGAACAAACGTCTGTCACTATAGCCACTTTTGTCATTTTGCACTCAGTGGCATAAGCTGTTAATAAATACTCAAGTACTGCTTTGTAAATATGTTATTCAGTGCTTACCCATGTGTTATAAAGTAGGTGGCCTTCAAACAAAGTGCTACCAATAACCGTTATTTAATAATAACTTATACAGTGTAGATTTAAATAAACCAGACACCAAAACATAAATCGATGGTTAATTCACAATTTAAATTATTTATAAATAAAGGCAAATGTTACTAAATTCTTGTCATGAAATTTGCCATCAACAGCTATTTGATCAACGCAATTTAGTCACTGCTTTTCGAATATATATGGCATATATAGATATTCGTTTTATTATATGTTTATTCCCAATGCCATTCGGCTTTCTCAATTACTATGGAATGTTCTACAGCTCTGCTCATCACTGAAAACATTTTCATTTTTACAGCTTCCAAAAACTTTGAAATCTACAGAATATTAATAACATATTACAATCATTTTATACATGTACTTCAAACAAATAACATAAATAATTTCAATAATAAAACTTCTACTGAGGTTTAATTGAGAGGAAAGGAATCTACTTTTTTCTCGGATCCATTTTAGTAGTTCACATTTAGTTTCTAATTATCTTTTTCTGCGTTTAATTTAATTCTTGTGTGTTGGATCAGCTCCTGTTCTGCCTGTTCACTTCTCTCAGTTCGGAGCTTTTGCATTTTATTTTAGAGCAAAAAGATCCAATAAGAGAAGAACAAAGTCTAAAAAATTTCACTGCATATCTAAAGGGAACTCAGCACTGCAGGCGTTCTTAGACCTCAAACTCTTTCACTCAGGCTGGCTTTTACTGGGTTAGTTTGACTTCTGCTCGAGTCACTAACTAACTGAAGTAACAATACCTTTTCCTGGAGTACAGGTTTAGATCTATCTACCCACATCTGCCCGACTTAATGCCTGAAAACATACGTCTAAAGTGAAGCTATCAAATCAGATTAATTGAACTCTGCACTATGGTGGAGCAGAGCAAGACACCAAAACATCTATAACAAAACATAGTTGAGTAAACTCGAGAGTAGTAAAGATCTGATGGGAAGTGATTCCCAATCAGCTGGTCAACCACAGAGGAGCTTAATGTATTTGGGTTCTCAGTGGGGTTTTGTACTCCTACCTTGGCCTGTTTATAAAAATGGGGCGCCAGTTCCACCAGCCAGGCAGATTCCACCGCCGTCACGTCCCGCATGAAATACTTGGAGGTTTGAACCACCTCATTGAAGACCACCCTAAAATTAAATGGAAAAGATGGTTGAAATGAGCTGTGAAATTATGAAGAAACACTTCTTGGTCATCCACAGATATTTATAACTGAATTTCAGAGGGTCTCCGCGAGGGATGTGTTGATACAGATACTTCTGTCAGGTATAGGGTTGATACTGTGCTCATTTATTTGTAAAATTCACCAATACCAGCTTTTGACACCTGCTGATACCGTGTGACGTAAGCTGAGTGTCACTGCCGTGACTCAAGCTGGCAGTGAAGGAGGCTCAGCTCACACAGAGAAGTGGTACTGACTCTGTGTAGCTGGTCACATATCCCCTTTAGAGTTAAGAAACGCAGGCCAGAAAAACAGATGAAGAAGTCGCCATTTGCTAAGTCCATCCATGTCAACTTTACTCTGTTATGACTAAAGAAAACGGTGAGTGAGCCGTGCACCTGTCCCCCCGACCCCAATGATGGCAGGAAGGCAGGGCCCGAACCCCAAGCAAGGATGTAACTTCGAGAGGACAGCGCCTCCTGTTCCACAGCGAGGCCGCTAAACTATACCTCACATTCGACCCGGGCTGCCGAGATGTGGAGCGGGGGCGGTGATGGGGAGACAGAGCAACAAGCTCTCAGTTCCTCTCAGCTCAGGAGGTCAGGCTGCCCTTAATGAGAACCAGCTGATGCTGTTTTTTTTGTCCCCGTTCGCCAGCTTAGCCGCCTGGGTCAAATGTGAGGTGTAGTCTATCAGCCTCACTGCAGAACAGAAGGCGCTGCCCAGGATGCAGGGCTCGGAACTCGCGCGCCGTTCACCAATCCCTCTCAGTTCTCCTTCTCTCCCCGCCGTCATAGCAGGGTTTAGTCCTCGCTCGGGGTTCAGGCCCCGCCTTTCTGCCAGCTCTCGCAGCTGTCATCAGGGCCTGGGGGACAGGCACACAGCATAGTGAGATATAAACATTAATACAGTGATTTTTTTCTGTAAGATAGGCTGTAGAGAGACCGTACTGTCCTACCATGTATACCACCACCTGGATTTAGTTTCTGTGCACTGCGTTAGCAGCACTGCTCAGTTTCTCTTTGCTCAGCATGTTGGTTTGAACAACACAGCTTTATTGACAATTGTCTGTAGACAGAGCTGTCTGTAGAGGCAGTGTTTCACATAGCATGGATGGAGTTTTCAAAGTACTTATTAGCATTTTGCCAATAGTGACTCGAATAGAGTTTACATACCATTTTGGTGGCTTCTCCCCATAAAGCACCGAGTTAGGATGGATGTGTAGCTCCCTGTCATCCCGTAAAGTTCTGAGAATAAAATAAAAATATATATATATTATATAACAATATATTGTTATATCAAAATCTTGTGAACCTATATATACACTTTTGCTTTTTACATTATCTGAAAACATCAGCTGCCCTTTACACTGTGTGAACATTTCATGACAAACAGACCACCAGAAAAGGCCTAAAACAATATTAAGCCTCATTACATTAAATCACATTAACAGCTGGGATTTATGTCTCATAAAATGAGCATTTAATAAATAAAAGCTTTTGACAGTAACAATATGTAAATCGATGGTTTATTCACAATTAAAAGTATTAATAAATAAAAGCAAATGTTACTACATTCTTGTCAGGAAACAGCTATTTGATTAGCACAATTTGGTTAGATATTGATTAGATATTAATTAGATATTAAGTTTATTACTAACGCCTTTCAGCTTTCTCAATTACTATGGAATGATTACAGCTCTGCTCATCACTGAAAACATTTTAATTTTCAAAGCTTCTAACAAATTGTTCAAAATCTACAGAATAATAACACCATATAACAATCGTTTCATACATGTACTTCAAATAGTTCTATTCCATTTTAGCAAGTCACATTATTTTTTAATTCTCTGTTGAGTTGGATCAGTGAGTTGGTTTTGACAGTAACAATAAGCAATATCAATAGATAAGCAAAGACGAAAGGATCCTGCAACACAGTTATGACCAGAAGACTTGTATGAATCTCATCTGCAGTACGAAAAATTTTTTACAATACTGTAAAGGTGCTCATGCCACTAAAAAGTCATACCTATAAGATCCAGAGTGGTGCAGACGGGCGGCATTAGCAAAGAAACCAGAAACTATACACCTGAGAATTACATCCGGGTCACCTGAAGAGGAAACCAAGACAGAGTTACACTATAATGGTAATAATTTATGCAATTTCAAAAAAATTTCTCTGAGAACTACTTTGCCTCACAACACCCTGCACATACCCCTCCGTCATGCAGAAATTTAAAAAATATATGGTTTAACCCAAAACTTTAACTTAAAACTACCAGAAAAATAATATCTTAGACATCAGGCAGCATATTCATAAAAAAAAAATGTATGTAATAACTTTCAGAGAGGCATTTTTTTGGCCTCAAACTCTTTAGACGTCTGATTCCCATCACCTCTACCTTTGTTTAAAACAAAACAAATTGAAATCTTGCTAGAGTTAGTTTATACTAAGCATGATGCTAGATGGTGGGGTGTATGCTGCCATTACTTGTTAGCTTCATTAGTCACGTAGTAAGAAGCTCTAGGCACAAAATATGGCTTACAACATGGGTAAATGGTGTGTGTGTGGGGGGGGGGGTCATTTAACATGTTTCCCTCAAAACCATGCACTGAAAACATTGTTAAAAAATAAGGAGTACAAATTCAATTTTCAAAAGGAAAATCATCTGACCTTCGCTGGACGTTCGAGGCACCTTAAACTTGTTCAGCAGGCGGCGCAGCTGCTCTCGGACCGTCATGGCGCGTACCAGACCCTTATAGTTGAGGAAATGTTCCTGACACCACTGAGAACTCTTCTGATGCTGCAGCAAACAAATAAACACATTCATGTCTGAGGAACTGTGCAGAGACACAGTCTTCGATGTATGACGTTATCTATATAGGCTATCTTAATGATTCAACTGCAGTAAAGATCATTTAAACACTGCTGGAAAAATTCAGGTGACTGAAGAGGTTTGACACTCATGCTATATAATGTTTTAGCTAAAGGCTTCAGAATGTTTGCAGGTAATTCAGACTGCTGTGACTGTGATAAGTGTAGAAAGTAACGCACAGCACAATTCAGTGATACATCAGTCATTTTGCCTTAGCTGTTTGATACAGATATGTTAAAAGACCATGGTAGACCATTCATTTTAATTTTGTGCCAAAAGTATAAACTCAAAAAAATGAATTTATTTTTTTTTTAGATTTTTCTTTTGTTGTTTTGCTGACACCTTTTTGCTTAAAAATTCTCAATGAAAATCTTTGCTTCAGTGGGGTCCGAACATCTGAGACCACGCAGAAAATCTGGGATCTTCTTTTATTTAACCTTTTAACGGTCATCACATTTTTTGCCTGAAACAGCATACCCAAAGTAAAAGAAGCGCTGTTCTCACATACTTCGGGCTACAGTCTTGGGCTGATTTGAAAGGTATCACTCTCAGATCTTTGGACCACAATGAGTATCCTGCTGTATTCTCTGAACAATAAACAGCGCTATCTGGTTTGGAAATGAAAAACCTAATTGCTTCTAACAAATGATTCACCTCCATTATCCTCTCACAGGTCAAAAGTTGTGTTTCATCACAGCAGTGACTGAAAATCTGCCACACAGACGCCCAAAACTCAGAACTGGTCCAAAACTTGAGCTTCTCCAAACCATGTCATAACACTTACCTTAACGAAAGCCTCGTAAATGTTCAGCATGGTCAGATGATCTCCTTCAGCCACGGCAAACTTCCTGTGCTCACGAGCCTGACGTTTAACAAGACAGACAGACCAACTGAAACATTCAGCCAACTCAGAAATACAAGATACTAAAGGTGTTCTTCATAATAAAACAGTGTCTTAAGCACGACAACAAGACAGTCCTTCTAATGAGTGATTTTAGCTACTTTAAGGTCAGCCACTGCTGAGACACAGCTTGTATAGTCTCTGTAGAAAAGCACTGACCAATAGAATAGTGTGGGCTAGAGGGGTATAAAGCCCCCCAGCATTGAGCTGTGGAGAGTAAAACTAAGTTCTCTGAAGTGATGGAGCTCCATCCAATACCTTCGGGATGAGCTGGAGTGATCCAGTACTGACCATACAACATCAGTACCTGACCTCAATAATGCTCTTGTAGCTGCAATCAAATCCTCACAGCAATGTTCTAATGTTGTGAAGCCTTCCAGGAAAGTAGAGGGGGGACAAAGAAATGCTGGAGGAGCAGGTTGTCTACAAACTTTTGGACAGGTAGTTTATTTATCTATTTCCAATTGATGCAACTGTCACAGTAAACGTCACTGTCAGATGTTTGATAAAGTTCATCATGATGACAATATAAGAAGCTTTAAATTATAATTCATTAATAATCCATTAATGGTTGAAGCAGAATGCTGTGTAGTCTTAGCCTTCAGCAAATTCCCAAAAAAACCAACATTACAAAAGTCCCATTTATTAGTGTGCAAATTGCAAAATAAAAAAACAAATATATTGATAGTTATTTACATCACAACACCGAGCACGTCCTTTGCACACAGCAAGGCAGCTAGAAAAACGGCCTGTTCTAAATAGGCATAGGCAGTTAAAAAAAAATTTAAATGAAATATTCTGACTTTAGATATTTATAAGGACTATGTTATGATCTATTTAAACCCAACGCTTTAATGGAGATAGGAATAAGCTAAATATATTTTAAAAATGATCATTTTTAGGGTACTTTCTATTGGAAACCTCAAACCCTAAATTTACACTTGACACGTGACACTTGACACTTGACTTCACTCTACATGTGAAAACAATACTTTCCATTTTCTCTCATTTTTCGGTTCTTTTTGATTCCTTTAGAATTAAAGTTGAAAGATTTCAATTTATCACAAGTTTAATTTTTAAATGCAAAAATGTATCCAAAAAACTTCAATACTGAAACACAGAATTTTCGTCCATAGGTGGAGCCTTATTTAAGCCACGCCCCTGCATTTTGGTTCAGGAAATGAGACTGCAGAAGAACATACAGAAGAACAATGACAGATGGAACAGCTGAAAGGGCAGTGAAGGAAACTCACGGCTGCTTTCTTCTGGTCCGACGGCACCACAAAGATGTTCTGGATCTGCATCATGGCTGCTATGGTGACGATCTCCTTGGAGCAGCCAAAGTTGCCGGACTCCAGCAGCATCTTTGCAAACATGGGGCTGAGGGGGAACTCGGCCATGCGCACGCCCATCGGCTCCGTCAGACGCCCGTACTGATCCAAACCTGCACAAGGACATTGTCTGTTGGTTATAATATAATTTATTGGTTTATAGAAGTCCCATGACTTTTCCTTGTTTTTACATTACGCAAAAAAATTGTTCATTGTTTCTTTTCATCTGTCTGAAAGTATTAAGACAGCTCTTCTAATGAACACTCTTTGTTTCCGAAGAGATGCTGATGTCGCCATCCATTCATCCATCCATCCATCCATCCACTGTCTTAGTATTTCTGTAGTCAAACACAATGAGAGACTCAACTTACCACCAAGAGCGTAGAGCAGCTCCAAAGCCTGCACCATAGACTGAGCTGGTGGTGGCTGCAGCAAAAAATATACAACAAAATACTTAAAATCAGTTGCTGTTTTCATGGTTTTCACTGCTTGCTATTTAAATCACTCTAGCAGCTGCTGGACCTTTCTATCAACTTTAAGCCACAGACCACAGTTTAGAACAGACGGACTGTTTCCATTAATGTTAAATCAATGTGAATGATGAACAGAACCATAAAAGACTCTAAAAAGACTAGAAAGAAAATAACCAGAGTGAGGCTTTAATAAAATGTAAAATGTATTAAAAAGTGGACAGACAGATACATTCATATGCAAAATACAGATATAACATTATGATCACCTCCTTGTTTCTCCATTGTCCATTTTATCAGCTCCACTTACTATATAGGTGCACTTCATAGTTCTACAGTTACAGACTGTAGTCCATCTGTTTCTCTGCATACTTTGTTAGCCCCCTTTTACCCTGTTCTTCAGCGGTCAGGACCCCCATGGACCCTCACAGAGCAGGTACTGTTGGGGTGGTAGTAGCACTGTAGTGACACTGACGTGGTGGTGGTGTGTTAGTCTGTGTTGCGCTAGTCTGTGTTGCGCTGGTTTGAGTGGATCAGACACAGCAGTGCTGCTGGGTTTTTTTTTTTGTTTTTTTTTTAACCCAATTTTCTCCGCAAATTTAGTCATCTCCAATTCCACCCGCTAGTTAGGACTCCCCCGATACCACACGAATCACACCGAATCACACAATACCATCAACACTAGGAGGGTGAAGGCTAACACAGGCTTCCTCCGAGACCTGTGAAACCAGCCACCACATCTTTTCGAACTGCCGCTGACGCAACGTCATTGGACAGCTGAACGCGCTCAGAGGAAAGCGCCAACCGCCAGATCTGCTACGTCAGCTAACAGACGCCTGCACTGACTAGCATCTCTTTAAGTGATGGGGGGAGAAGGAGGGGCCATCCTACCCACCCAGAGAGAGCAAGGCCAATTGTGCTCTCTTGGACTCCCGGCAAAGGGTGGCTGTAGCATCACCAGGGATCGAACTCGCGATCTCCTGATGATAGGGCCAACGCTTAGGCGGTTGCGCCACTCGGGAGCCCGCTGCTGGAGTTTTTAAACACCTCAGTGTCACTGCTGGACTGAGAATAGTCCACCAACCAAAAATATCCAGCCAACAGTGTCCTGTGGGCTGCGTCCTGTGACCACTGATGAAGGATTAGAGGATGACCAACACAAACTGTGCAGCAGCAGATGAGCTATCGTCTCTGACTTTACATCTACAAGGTGGACTGACAAGGTAGGAGTGTGTAATAGAGTGGACAGTGAGTGGACACAGTGTTTAAAATCTCCAGAAGCACTGCTGTGTCTGATCCACTCAAGGAGGTAGTCATAATGTTATGCCTGATTGGTGTAAGTTAACACACCCACTACACTGTATCTTATTATTTCCCCAATATGTTAAATTTAGCAAATAAACAGTAACTGTGCATGAAAATGTGCAGAAGTGTGTGCTCTGCAGCGGATGTGTTCACTTATTTTCACTTATCATTGTAATTTGACCAGGGTGCATAAACTTTTGCACTTATAGGTAGGTAGGCAGGCAGGTAGGTAGATAGAAACCTAAAAAATAAATAAATAACTAAATAATACAACTATTATGAATATGATGTCATTAACACTCACAGACAGGAAGCTGAAGCGGAGAACATTGTCGATGCCCAGAGCTTTCAGCTGGAGGATGACCGGGGCCAGGTTACTGCGCTGCATCTCCGGCACAGTGGACTCCGGAAGCTTCTCAAAGTCTTCCTCTGAGAGAAGCACACAGAGCAAATAGTAAAATTAGTAATAAAGCTTCAGAATGTTTCAAAATCATAACTTTAAAGAGGAACTGCACTGTTTTTTTTTCCACGATTGTCTACACACCTACATGGATAAGATGTAAACAAAGTCATTCAGAGTGGTTTGGTGTGAAACACTCTGTTCTAGAGAAACTTACTGACTCAGGTTTCTTTACAGTGGTGATGATGGGAACCAGACGTCTGAAAAGTTTTTCCACTTACAAAAACTTTCTCACAGAAAGTTATTAAATGAAATGGTTATGAATAAACTGCCAAATGTTTGAGATATTGTTTTATGATAGTTTGTGTTGTAGTCATGGTAACGCCGGGTTCCTATAACCACCACTGTAAAGACGAGTCTCTACAGTCATTTCTCATCAAACCTATATAAATAATTACACCTCAGTGATTAATTAGTGATTAATTACACAGAAACGTAAACAAATCAGTGGAATTCACCTTAAATCTGAGTGAAATGATGGCAATAATCAGTTTGTGGTGGTTTTTTTTTCTGTTTCACAAGATAAAAATGTACAATAAACTGCTTTGTCATTACCTGTATAAAGTCTGAAGCATTTTCCGGGCCTGTTGCGTCCGGCTCTGCCTGCCCGCTGAGCAGCGGAGGCTTTAGAGATGGGCGTGACCACCAGAGACTCGATGGCTGTGCGAGGGTTATACGCTCGGAGCTTCACAAACGCACAGTCTATCACAAACACGATGCCATTTATGGTGATGGAGGTTTCAGCGATGTTAGTAGCCACCACCACCTGAAGGACCAGAGAAATAATTTGTTTATTTACACAGGAGCAGCGTGACCAATGTTAAAGCGACAGCTCAGCCTGACAGCAATAGTTCAGCAAGCCAAATCTTGTACATCAGACATGTTTGGTGTCTAAAGTTCACTTCTTTAGTTCTGCACAGGTGCTACGAGCTTAATGTGAATAACAAATAATAAAAACTTATGCCTCACCACTCAGCATGGTGCTGACAGCACGGCTAAATCAGAATTTTCAAATACTCATGAAAAATGGAACCGTAAATAAAGTTTTTTGATATGCAAAGTAGCTTTTTTCTAACAGTTTACATTCTCATACTGAAGAACCATGTGATGATTGAACTCTACTCTCCACCAGAGGGCGGTGTAGAGCCAGCATTTTGCACACTGTTCAGCATTTCTGATCTGTTTAGCCCAAAGAAGGAAACAAACAGAAAGACTGCTGCAGCCTTCTAAATGTCAGATACTATATAAAGAATAAAGAATATTTTTATTATAAATATTATCATAAAATCATCTCCATATCATCAGTTGATTATGACCAATGAAAAGCCTCAAAGCCAGATTAATTAGTCGATGATAAAGTAATTGGTAATCGTGTCATGAATGCAGTTTAGTGCACTCAAGTATATACACTCAAATCAACAGAAATTCAAATTAAATTATTTACAAATTAAATATATATAAATTAAATATATATATATACACTATTAGTGCACTTCTTTCTAACAATACAGCAACTGTTAGGGCGTTATAACAAAAGATATTAGAGAGAGAACTCAGTGGCCCTTAGTCATGATGGTTGCATTAAAAAAAGAGCGCAGATTTGACCGCCTTTGATGACGTACAAACTACTCTGCACCTGCTTCATTAACGTTTCGTACGAAGTGGAAATGAGTGGAGATTTGAATGCAGTCAGCTTCGGTTCGTGAAATCAAGTGCTAGTCTTCCAGCACCTCATTTACATATCATTTACATGAAGCATTTACATGTTTTCACTTTATCGTGTTAAATTACAACTGGAAAGAATAAAACATGAAATAAGTGAAACATTCGTTTGTTAAGATGGTAGAATGATGTGTTTTAGTGTGAAATAACATTTATATGCTGTATTATTGCAGTCTATGAGACGCTTCTACACTAGATGTGTTTTGGATTGTTTATTTTGTGGGCAGAGTTGTATAAAACAAGCACAGTGTAATACATCTCTAAATGGAACACAGAATAGCTGCAGCATTTGTTTATAACAATCTAAAGTAAGCACATCGACTTCTGTGCTGGATTGCCATGAGCACATGATTGTTAATTTCTGTCATTTGAGCTACAGATTAGTGCTACAGATAAAACTAAATAACCAAAACTATTTTCAATCACAAATCAGGCATTTTTTCAGGTTCTTCATGTTTACGCTCAAGTTTACAAGCACTCCTACCAGACGTGAGTTTGACTGTACAGATACGCCAAAGATGAAACTAATAAATGACAAAACTGTTAGAGAATCATTCTGCAATCAGATTCTACGGTACACAACTTTGATGAATAAGGGCTGATATCTGTATGGGCTAACTAGTTTCACCTTTCGTACAGTAGGGGGCATCCTCTCAAACACTTTCATCTGCTCAGTGTAGGGCAGTCCAGCGTACATGGGGAGTACGCGCAGATGCTTCTTAAGGCCGTAACGAGAAAGAGTGCGAGCCTGGTCCTGCAGCATAGAAACCACCTTCTCCACCTCCTCCTGCGAACACAAACACAACCATCATCGCAGACCCAACCGGTAAAGGACAAACGCTGACGTTGGTCTGTAACCAGGGCTACATATCATACATGAAATATGCTAATCTGGCACTTTATTTTTGTGCAGTTAGAAACTGTCATCTATTGATGCACGTTTTAGCTACAGATGAGCCACAGTAAATGTACACCTACATAGTGGAGCTATAAGTAGATGTTTCTAATAAAGCCAGTTAGTGGAAGTAGATAGTAGGTGTTTCTCATAAAGTGGCCAGTTAGTGGAAGTAGAAGGTAGGTGTTTCTCATAAAGTGGCCAGTTAGTGGAAGTAGAAGGTAGGTGTTTCTAATAAAGTGGCCAGTGAACAGAAGCACAAGGTAGATGTTTCTAGTAAAGTATGTTAATTGCTATTAAGTTCCAAACAAAAGCAGCCAGTAATATTTTGTAACAAACCTCAAACTGTACTTCAGTTACATTACAGAGGTAAATGCATGTTACCTTCACACTACATCCACATACACGCACTCACCTGTCCAGTGAGGAAGGCCAGGACATCTCCATCCTCCTCAGCCTCATGAATCTTCATCACAGTTTCCACAGTGGCCTTTACGTAGTCCGGCACTGGACTGCAGAGACAAACACACAGCTTCTGACAAACACATCCAGTCCGATAATGAAAAAATACTCGGAAGATTATTATTAGAGTACAAAACCGTTTAATAACATCTTGCTGTTCTCGAAATACTTTATATTAAAAAAAGAAAACACATCTGAAATACCCCTTAGTGTCTTTCTTATTATTTAAATATACATTGTATATGCCACTATTGAACAAAGTAGGATAAAATAATAATATAGCTTCCAGAAGTTTCAGTGGTAGCATATTGTGGCATGTGCCCATCCCCTGGGCCCCGATGACGGCCGTGAGAGAGAAAGGGATGAGGCAGCAGCAGAAGAAGAAAAGACTGGGGAGCTGAAAAGCTTAGTTTGGAGAAAAGGACCGAAAAGTCTCGCTTTGGAGCCACTGAAAAGTGGCCGTCATAAGTTTTGGTTTTGTTTGCTTTGTTTGTGTTTGGTCCTTCTTGAGCCCAGGGCAGCACAGGCCATGCTACAGTGGTGCCGAAACCTGGGATTGAACATGAGGCAAATTAAAGCGGCCTCGCCACGGGACCAAAGGCAGTGCCTAGCAGTTTTTCATCTGGGCTCAAAGCTCAGGCCCCGCCTTCCTGCCGGCTCTCGTGGCCGTCATCGGGACCCGGGGGACGGGCGAATGCCGCATGTACATAATAAAAAGTTCTATTTTCAATAGCAGCGAAGATATGCAAACGGATAACCCCATGTGCAACAAACATCAGAGTCACCCGACTCACCTGACGGTATAGAAAACATCCACAGGGAAAGTTCGGCCCTCCACAGTCAGAATCCCACACGTGTCCTTACTGGGGTCTCCAGATTCATTCAGGTTGAAAAAGTCTTGAAATTTCTATAAGAGCAAACAAGGCAATGTAGCAAATCCCTTTTGACCTGTATTTAATTCAATTCAACTAATCAACTAATTAACTTTACTGTTTTTTGTATATATGCACTAATGCTAAATCTGATGCCAGTAATATGTTCCAAAAAGTTCAGTAATCGGTCAGAAACTGAGGACACCAATTGTTATAGGTGTGAAGATTTTTTTTCCTCATTCTTGCTTGATATAGCACTTCAGCTGCTCAACAGTCTGGGGTCTCCGTTGTTGTATATTGCGCTTCATAACGCGCCACATGTCCCTGAAAAAGACGTCGCCTAGATGGCAGTGTAAGTGGCTCCTAAATGCATATGTACCCCTCAGCATTAATGGCACACACCAATGCCTCTGTCCCAACTTTTTGGAATATGTTGCCGGCATTACCCCGCGACCCAGAAGGATAAGCGGCTTAGAAGATGGCAGGACAGTCTATCACCCACACTTTCTCATCACACAGTTTTGGAGAGTTTCTCGGTGCGGTCATGTTGAAACCATCATCAACGACCCTGAGAAAGACGCCATCTAAAAGGCAGCATATGTTGCTCCAAAATGTGTTCACTGTTAATAGTGCTTTACCCACTAATCCCCAGCTGGTATCAGTGGTGCTGGCTATTGAACTTTATGCTGGTAACAATCCACATAGTCCTTTTGTTTTTTGGCCCAGCTCAACATACTTCAGCAATAAAATGGTATTACAGTAGTTTTGAGGTTTTATCCAGAGAGCCACTGACCGAATTCCCAACTTAAAAACCATATCAATACCTACAACACTTACTTTGTCATGTTAAAAGTTCATTTGCTAATATTTAAAATAAAGATACTGGAATACCATTTACATACAATCTCTTACAATACAATTCATTTCAAAAGGTATCAAACAGTAAAGTGCATTAGACAGGATTTTGGCCAATTTCAAAAATTTACATACATTTATGTTTGTATGGTACATTTTTATGTGCAGAATTTCCCCAAACATTTTCAAATAAAGATATTTTTATTTCATAATTTTTATATTTTGGCAATATATACTGAAATATATTTTAGTGTTTCAAATGTATCTTAGCATGGACTGCAATGTATTTGAAATGCATATTTAAAATATATAAAAATACATGTCCATACATCTTTTTTTTTCATATGGGTAAGGTCACAGATTCAGTCACAGCAGGGTTTGGGTTTAGTTTTTTTCATTTATGACATTGGTTGGGTCTTTATATACGTGCATACCCAGTATCTGGTGAATAAACTAAGGTTTGATTGATTTAAGGTTGATGCTGATTTAAAAGATGAAACTCTGAAACTATGACATGGTCTGAAAGTTAAAAAAGGGAAAATGTAGTTTAGGATGGAAAGTGCAGTCAGTGCAGTTTCCACACCTGCACCTTTTCCAGAAATTCTCTTTAATCCACTCTGGAGGAAATCTCAACACAGTGCCCCTTTCTCCCCACACTCACCTCTCAATCTCACACACTAAATCACCCCCTGCACTTCTCACATACTCTCTCACTCACTCCCTCATGCACACGCTGAATCACCTTTGCATCCAGCGTAGCAGACGCTACGATCAACCTCAAATCTCTCCTCTTCCTCTGAATCTGAGAGAGAGAGAGAGAGAGAGAGAGAGAGAGAGAGAGAGAGAGAGAGAGAGAGAGAGAGAGAGAGAGAGAGAGTTATATAAAGAGGAAAAAACAAGAGAGATGAGAGAGAAGAAAAGAAAGAGAAATAGAGATGGAAAGACAAAAGAAATATATATACAGACAAAAAAAATGACAGTGAAAAAAGAAGAAAATGAAAGAGAGTAAGCAAGATGGAGAAAATAGAAAGAGAAGGGGAAAGAGAAAGAAAGAAGGAAGGAAGGAAAGAAAAAAGAAGAGAGAGACAGAGAGAGGAATAAGAGAAATATATAGAGAGGACAAGAAAGCACAAGAAGCAGAAAACATTAAAATTGCAGCTCTTACAATTTGAAAATTTCACTCTCTCAAGTTGCGATTCACATATGAAAACGATTAATCTTTCAGACCAACTTTTAGCCCAAATATTCTTTTTAACACCTAAAAGGTTTGACTGCTGACATCACAGCAAGGGGATATAACAGGAGATTTGTGGTTTATTCCCAAAGTAGAGCTCTAAATGCTGCTTAATCAGTTTTGCAAGACCAACAGAAACAGCTTTAAACGACGCTTTAATCTGTATTAAAAACCTTTGTAAAAGTTAAAAGCTCTGACGGCGTAATACTGCAGGAGGGTAAAGGACAGCGGAGTCACCTTCTTCAGAAGGCCAATGGCAATGTCAGTGTAGAGTGTTCTCTCATGAGCCTCGTCCAGCATGAGGACACTGCAGGACACACAGATATAAAACAGCTGAATGTCCACTCAAAACCACTAAACAGAGCCTTTCCGACCACAAACTCTGACAGAGGACACACCTGTACTTTTTCAGGAGCGGGTCAGCCATCATCTCCCTCACCAGCATCCCGTCTGTGAGGAACTGTAGGAGGAATCAGCATGGAGATCAAACTGACCACAGGAGACTTAAAGGGAGAGTTCAGTAAAAATCTAATTTACATCAAATGTAATCAAAGACATGTTTGGTGTCTGAAAGAGAGGAAGAGAGAGTGAAACAAGAGAGAGGGGGAGGGAGAGAATGAGAGTGCAAAAGAGAGAGAAAGAAAACGAGAGAGAGAGACAGTAGAGAGAATGAGTGCGAAAGAAAAAGAGAGAGAAATAGAGAATGAAAGAGCAAAAGAGAGAGAGCGAGAGGAAGAGTGAAACAGAGTAGAGAGAGAATGAGTGTGAAAGAGAGAATTAGAGGGGGAGCAGAGAGAGGATGAGCGAGAGAAGGAGAAAGAGATTGAGAGTAGAGAGAATGAGAGAGAGAGCAAAAAAAAGAAAAAGTGGGAGTAGAGAACGAGAGAGAGCGCGCAAGAGAGGATAGAGAAAGCAGAGAGAGATAGAGAGATTGTGCAAAAGAGAGAGGACAGAGTAGAGAGAGAATAAGAGAGAAAAAGAGTAGAGACAGACAGCGAAAGAGAGGAGAAAGAGAATAGATGATGCGGGAGTGACTTTATACCACACCAATCAGTGTGTATCATATACTATCTTTATAATCTATAAACAAGGTGCAGTCTTTATTATTTTATCTCACTGTTTATTTTTATCTTTTCCTTTTTAAACCTTTATCTTTTAAATTTTAAACCTTTTATTTTGTATCATTGTTGTTTTCATCTTCATTACCTTGTTTTTCTATGTATTTTATTTAAAATTGTAAATTTGTCTTGACAAGAGCAAAATAAAGCCTATTATTATTATTATATATTTTTTTATTATTATTACAGATACACCTCCTCAAACCCAGAGCAGTGAGTCAGAATGAACACAGCATGAGTTCATACCTTTATGCGAGTAGCATGAGGATCTGAGCAGTCATCAAAGCGGATGGTATATCCGACCTCGTGGCCCAGCAGCGCTCCTCGCTCTTCAGCTACACGATTGGCCACCTAGAAAACAGACACACACAGTCAGTCCTTAACATCTCTTTCTGAAGTATGTACACTTAAATAAACTGAATTACATCATCATCATCCCCTTTAAACCGCTTAATCCAGCAAGGGTTGCAGTAGCAGTTGGGAGAGCAGAGAATCCCAGATGACCCTGTCCCCCCGCAACTTCCTCCAGCTCATTCTGGGGGACCCCGAGCCGCTCCCAGGCCAACTTGGAAATATAATCCCTCCAGCGGGAGATACTTAAACTCGTCCACCTGGGGCATGTACCTCCCCATTACCTGGAGTGGGCATTTACTTTACTTTAATGTACTTAAAGTAAGAGTCAGAATATGTGATAATAACCCTCCACTGCTTCTCTTCTTCTTCAGCAGCTCAGGCCATGAGTGTGCTGCGGCTAATAGGTGGCACTAGACCTTGCACAAGACAAATGAGATCAATATAGATAGAGCTGGCCAGTTCCATCAATGCCCATACAAATTTAATCAGACATTTTCACAGCAACAAAACAAATAATGAAAGTGCAAATTAAACGGATTGGCAATAGAGAGGAATAAAATAGCATTTCAGAGGTGTAAATGAGTCGAAAAGTATGTTTTCTCTCTTGTATTCACTTTGAATAATATCTGACTGAAGCACAGATCTTCCAAAATAATACTTTAAGCAGCATTATGTAATATTTTTTGTTAAAACTGAAAGAAGTAGCATTACTGAGTGAGGAGAAATAAAGAACATTAAATACGGTGAGCATGTGCCGCTGTGAGTCGCCCTGCAAAACCTGAAATAATCGATTAAAAGTCAGAGACGCAGGGTCGAATTTCCGAATCCTACATAGTGTTGCTTTAAATGTAGAAACGACACAGAAGTGTTTTTCACTCCTGCTCATACACAGAGGGATCATGATATCAGAGACCAAAATGATCATGTTTTCGGTTTTATCAAGATATTGTTTGAATATTGTGACAGTGTTTAAAAGGACTAATACACTTTATAATCATTTCATAGCTATTATATAGACAGTCTCACAGTGCTATACCTGATTTCATAATGAGAACACAAGTCTAGGGTTAAACTTCTGGTGCGGGGCTGTCACTAACAAGACTACACCCCCTCTAAACCCTGTTCTTAAAATCTCTCTAGTTCTTTCAACATCTGGAATACAATGATGACACTAAGCCAAAAAGCTAGCTGGCAAATCACTTAACTAAGTGATTTAAGCAAATCCTTAGCTAAAGAACTGGTTTTCTCTCAGCAGACTCAGACATGCTTAATAAGAGTTTTCACAAGACATTTGGAGTGGTTTAAATCAGGGGTGTCCAAACTTTTTTTAGAGCGTATCTACAGAATTTGCTCTGATAAACCCCCACAAAAACAAAAATTGATATAATTATGAAGCTCTACTGTTTTCTGTTTAGGTTGTAACTGTAAACATGTGTTGAAGAGAGACTTTAGCAGCAGGCTGTTTACCTCCACTGCATTTTTCAGACTCACATACTTACACATACACACACACACACACACACACTCATCAAAAGCCTTTAGTGCAGCTTCAGTACAAAAAAGAGTGTCAAACATGAACAAAAAGATAAAAGACCCGAGTGGATGACACGTACCGAAGTAGCCGCCACCCTCCTGGGCTGAGTCACACCAATCACCTTCCCCTCTGCAGCCCAGCCGGCCTCCAGCAGATACTGTAAAACGCACACATTTCATTCACAAGGCCACAAGATACAGCATGACACTGCAGCATTCAGCTTAAGGTAAACTGTGTCCTGTTACCGAGAGAGAAATCTGAATATTGCAGAAATGCACATTTCACTCCAGCACGTCCTTCAAGTAAGCTCATTACAAGCATTGCTGTCATAAGAAAACCTTATAGCTCCATTTCTTTTTTACAGTAGGGCTGCATAATATACTACCAAATCAGTTAGTAAAGCACTGTTTAACTGAAATTAATGGAGTATAACACTAAAATTTAAAATATACAATACGGTGTAAAAAGACCACACTGAAAAGCTGTTTCATTTTTACATGGATTTTTGAATTTCGAAAGATCACAAACAAAAAAACATCACAATAGGTAAAATACTGAAGATTCTGCACTCTAGGTCACTACTTACAATCAAGCAAATCTGAGACACTGACCATGTGAAGGCCTTTGTAGATAAAGATCAGATTTGCTTTTAATCTTATCTCTTCCTTTGAAGCCCGTTTTCAGGTTGATGTACTGATCAGAGACTTGTGGAGCTCACTGCCAGCTCAAACGCATGCTCTCATTTAAAGTATAAAGATGTGTTAACTTATTTTCACTGAGAAAATCAACAAAAAAACAATTTGACCAGTGGCGGCAAATCTTTTTGACTGCAGCAATATAATCATTTTATGGCATTTCTGTGCAGCCTTAAGGCCAATTTACAGTCCTGGCAACACGTTGCACGAGAAAAAAAAAAAATGACGTAATAGACACAATGTAAAGTTGATGTTTAAAGAAAAAAGCTGCGGCATGAAGTTTGAGTTTTATATCACGTTTACGTCACGTCTTCTTATGTGAGTTTATTGGCTGACTGCAAAGCAGAAATCTGATTACTGTCTGACTCATGTAAACACAGACTTTCCCATTATCTGATTACCCAAGTGTATGTAAACACGCTGATCAGATTACTGACAAAATCTGATTTTCTGCTGTTATCGGAACTCGCGAATGAAACATGTATGGAAAACATGCAGTAGTTCTGGTTGCTGTAGTGACCATGCAGCTTTAAATCCTACTGTTAATGCAGTTTCATTGTAGCAGCTGTTTCCAGACTGTTCTGTGCAGTTTTACCGTTTCATTAGCTGTACTGTCATACACGTTTTCACAGAAACTACGTCAATGTTCTATTCCGACGTTTTGTCACCGGCACAGTGAACAGACCTACATAATTTTTTAACAAAATCTTTCAAGTCACTTTTTGAGATGTTAAAAACGTTTCTTCTTGTCCTAGGAAGTCAGCATTTCTGAGATACAGGGCTTTAAGAGATATGAAAAAGTAGATCTGAAGCTAATTTGAAGGAGAAATGAATCAAAGTCATAATTTACTGATTTTAGAGCTTGAGTCTAACTGCTACAGAGATTATAAAGGCTCATCCGTGAAGGTTGTTCAGCTTCACCTGAGGAATCTGCGTGCTCTTCCCACAGCCAGTCTCTCCAACTATCACCACCGTCTGAAAGCTCTCCACCAGATACAGGATGTTGTTCCTATGCTGTGAAATAACAAGAAATGTCATCATGCAAAAGGAGAAAGCAGCATTTAAACCAACATGAATAGCTTTTTTGCAGTTTTGTTTCATATACACTATATGGCCAAAAGTATGTGAACACCATCCTAATTACTGAGTTCAGGTGTTTTAGCCATACTCATTGCTAAGAGTTGCATAAAATCAAGCACACAGCCATGGAGTCTCCATAGACACACACTTGGCAGTAGAACGGGTCGTACTGAAGAGCTCAGTGACTTTAAACATGGCACTGTCACAGGATGCCACGTCTGCCACAAGTCAGTATGTGTAAATTTCTGCTTTGCTAGACTACAGAGTTACAAATTACCTCTGGAAGTAACATCAGGACAAGAACTGTGCATCAGGATCTTCATGAAATGAGTTTCTTCAGTCAAGCAGCTGAACTCATGCCTAAGATCACTATGCGCAATGCGAAGTGTCGGCTGGAGTGGTGTAAAGCACACCACCACTGGATTCTGGAGCAGGGGAAACATGTTCACTGGAGTGATGAATCACGCTTCACTACCTGGCAGCCTGATGAATGAGTCTGGGTTTGGTGGATGCCAGGAGAACGCTACCTACAGGAATGAGTGCCAACAGTAAAGTTTGGTGGAGGAGGGATAATGAGCTGGGGCTGTTTTGAAGGATAATGTTAATGCTGCAGCTTACAAAGACATTATATGTTTCCAACTTTGTGGCAGCAGTTTGGGGAAGACCCTTTCCTGGTCCAGCATGACTGTGCCCGTTTACAAAGCGAGCTCTATAAAGACATGGTTTGAAGAGTTTAATGTAGAGGAACTCCAGTGGCCTGCACGGAGCCTTGACCTCAACCCCACTGAACACCTTTGGCCTTCTCTTCCAACATCAGTGACTGACCTCACAAATGCTCTTTTGACTGAACTGGTACAAATTCCCACAGATGCACTCCAAAATGTTGTGAAAAACTTCCCAGAAGAGTGGAGGCTGTTATAGCTGCAAAAAAAGGGGCCACTCCATGGTTTCAGAATGGGATGTCCAGCAAGCTCATATAGGTATGATGGTCAAGTGTCCACATACTTGCACTGTAAATACTGTATGGACTGGGGGGTGAACAGCATGATTTGAAACTTTAACAATGTATGTTACCTTAAATACGGGCAGTTTCTGCCTCTGTTTCTCCACAGACAGGGTGCTGTGTGGGTTGTAGATGAGTACAGGCCCGCTGGGCTCCGTCACCAGCTCTCTCTCCTCAGACACTCCGGGCCCCTCACACCCTGCAAAAACAGCTCAGGTCATTTTTGGAAAAATCAGACAAGCTTTACGCACAGCTTATTTACAAATGTGCATATCATTAAGAAACTATCAGGTAAAAAAAGTTAACTATTAGAGTTAAAAGGGGAAGTCCACAGATTTTTCTGAATTGCTGCATAAGCGTGACTACTTTCAAACCTCTCCTTATCCCTTATAATTTTACAGACATGGTTACATGGTTTTCGTACTACACCTTCAAGACTGATATGTGTAAATGAGCTCTGTTCTGACTGGCTGCCCTGTATTCTGCCTCATTCAAAAATCAGTCTGGGCTGAAACACTCCCTAAAACTTCAGTGTAAATGGAGGGGGGTGGTGGGTAAACTGCTGAAGTCTCTCTATCATGAACCATTTCACATTTAAACACTCTGAATGACTTTGTTAACATCTTAGTGTTTTACTTATGCATTTTTTTTAATTAGTCAAATTTCCCTTTAAGGTTAGGGCTTGAACCAGCATTAAGCACTGAATGCTAAAGGGAAGGATCATCTACACTGTAGTCCAATATCTACAGTACTATATGGAAAATCACACAGATTAAAACTAAATGCACACACACTCAAAGTACGCTTCCACCATTTTTCAAAAATTCTGCAAAGTTCTGTCTTTAAGATGTAAACAGAGTCATGCAGAGTGCGTTGATGTGAAATGGTTCATTTAATTACTTTTTTTTTTTTTACAGTGGTGGTGATAGGAACCAGGTGTCACAAAGTCTACAACACAAATATAACCATTTTATTTACTCTCCCAAACCACCAGCGAACCTATAAATGTCTTCTGAGTTTATATATGCAACATCGATGATAGTAAAACTGGAAAAAACAAGTTTTTTTTTAATTAATGGGGACTATTTTGCCTCACAACATCACAACATCCTGCATGTTCCTCTCTACCACAATGAACCTTGGGAAAAAAAACAGCCAAAACTTAAAACTATCATATTTGTAACCGTTTAGGGTATTTGTGTAATAATAACACTCTTCAGACGTCTGGTTCCTGTCACCACCACTGTGAGCAATTCTTACCCAGTACGTTTCTCAAGAATGCAGCATTTCACACCAGCCAGTCTTTACGACTTTGCTTACATCTAAACGATTAAATTATGCAGCATTTAAAAAAAAAAAACAGTTAACTTCCCTTTTAATTAATCTGCTTTAATCCTTCCGTGCTTGTGTCTGAGGCTCTGTGACTCTGTGATGCCCACTAATGCAGTATGGACAGTCTGGACAGTAAACATTAGCTTTATGAATAACCAGCACGGTTGAGTTAGGACTGAGCTACTGAAGGCAGAAGAGAGAGAGCAGGTAAAGAAATGCAGCTGTGAAGGAATGATGTGGTCAGGTCTGTGTGGGTCAGTGCAGCAGCAGCAGCAGCGCTGCAGAGGGACACAGACGCACTGGGCCACAAACACACACGTACAGCCTCCCACCCACTAAAACACACACACACAGACACTAACACACACTAACGCTCAGCTAAAACACAGCAGGCTTCACTGGTCCAGAACACAAATCATTTCTTACCGGGCTTCCAAAACCGCATCGTGGAGTGGGGGGCCGCCATCTTACAGTACTACGTCATTTATTTCCCTAAAAAAACTTTACTGAGCGTCAGGGGGCGCCACCGAGTCTATGGAGAATAAATAAAAAAATAAACTACTGTGAGGTTTCTGTGAGCTATTCTGACTCATAATAAAAGTCCTGCTTCGTCAATATTTTGGAAGGACTTCTATGTTTTTGTACGTAACCACTTGCTAGAGATTTTTTCTTTACTATACGAATTATACACATATATGCATATACGTATTTATATATATAATATATATATATAACCGTGTGGTATGTAATATATTGGATTTCATGTTCTGTATTATATTCCTGCCATTTTTTGTGAATTAAATAAATATAATAACAAATAAACAAAATAAAAGTCCTGTTTGAGGGATATACAACTGACCGGTGCCCATGTAGAAATCTCATACAGACGCCCATATATGCACATATATCAAAATGGGTCAGGTATATATTTTAAAATATACAGACATATATGTTGTGTACATATATGCATAATATATGGACTATACATATATGTCTGATGCTTACACCACTGTACAGTTGTGATAGTTTTTGTGTAATCTGTTTGTCATATTTAAATGCGTCAGGCAACAAATTTTATTTATTTAATGTTTTAATGATTTAGGGTGTAATTATCTAGCTGTTATACTCATTTTCACTTCAGAAGAAAAAAGAAGCATAAAAACCTAATATTCTTTAACATCATCCTTGCATATATGAGTAATACACTGATCAGGCATAACATTATGACCACCTCTTTGTTTCTGCGCACATTGTCAATTTATCAGTTTAATATACTTACTATATACAACTTACTTTATAGGAGCACATTGTAGTTCTACAATTACAGACTGTAGTCCATCTGTTTCTCTGCATACTTTGTTAGCCCCCTTTTACCCTGTTCTTCAGTGGTCAGGACCCCCATGGACCCTCACAGAGCAGGTACTATTTGTGTGGTGGATCATTCTCAGCACTGCAGTAACACTGATGTGGTGGTGGTGTGTTAGTGTGTGTTGCGCTGGTCTGAGTGGATTAGACACAGCAGTGCTGCTGGAGTTTTTAAACACCTCAGTGTCACTGCTGGACTGAGAATAGTCCACCAATCAAAAATATCCACCCAACAGCATCCTGTGGGCTGCGTCCTGTGACCACTGATGAAGGACTAGAGGATGACCAACACAAACTGTGCAGAAGCAGATGAGCTATCGTCTCTGACTTTACATCTACAAGGTGGACTGACAAGTTAGGACTGTCTAATAGAGTGGACAGTGAGTGGACAAGGTGTTTAAAAGCTCCAGCAGCACTGCGGTGTCTGATACACTCATACCAGCACAACACACACTAACACACCACCACCACATCAGCGTTACTGCGACGCTGAGAATGATCCACCACCCAAATAGTACATGCTCTGTGAGGGGGGTCCTGGGGGTCCTGACCACTGAAGAACAGGGTAAAAGGGGGCTAACAAAGTATGCAGAGAAACAGATGGACTACAGTCTGTAATTGTAGAACTACAAAGTGCACCTATATAGTAAGTGGAGCTGATAAAATGGACAATGAGCGTAGAAACAAGGAGGTGTTCATAATGTTACACCTGATTGGTATGTATGCCAACCATATGTGAATGTTTTCTATCATATATTGTTTAATACGTGTTACACATATAAGTTTGTGTGTTATATTACATATATGATAATATATGACTAAAATATATTCCCCATATTTGAAAATGGCCAGTTTCAAATAAGTATAGATTACATATATGTCCATATGTGACTAATATAAGTTGGATATAAGGGACGTCCGTATATGCTAATATATACCATAGGTTTAAAGTCCACATATTGCAAAATATCAGATTTTCATATGGGTGGTCACTTGCACAAAACACCTTCAGTGAAAATTGGTTTTAAGTGTTTTTTCCTCTTTTACCTAAATTTAGTTGCATAAAATCTTGTCAGGGAGACGTTTAGGTGGAAAGTGAAAAAGATCCATAATATAAAGGGCAATTCCACTTATTTAAAAAAAAAAATCTGCATAATTCATAGGTGGAGATGTAAGTCATTCAGAGTGGTTTGGTGTGAAATGGTTGATTGTAGAGACTCTGATTTCTTTACAGTGGTGGTGATAGGAACCAGGGGTCGCCATGACTACAACACAACTATAGCCATTTTATTTACCATCTAAAACCACCTGTGAAAAAACATTTTCTCTGGGGACTATTTTGCGTCACAACACCCTGCATGTACCCCTCCACCATGAATGGACTACAAAATCATATTTCAGGCCTAAACCTTCTCAAAACTGTCAAAAAACAATGCCTCAGACATCAGGCAGTGTATTCATAACCATTGCATGTAATAACTTTTAGAGGTGGATGTCTGGTTCCTATCACCATCACTGTGAACAATTCTGACTCTGGTAAGTTTCTCTAGAACAAAGCATTTCACACCAAACCACTCTGAATGACTCTGTTTAGGTCTTAACCATTTAGTTATGCAGAAACATGCAGAATTCCCCTTTAAGCATTGACCTTAAAATAAGTACTTAAGATGTTCTATGCAATCAGTCACAGGCCATTGGGGTACACTGCCCAGGGGCTTCTGACTACAAGGATATGGGTCAATATATTTGGGACAACACACTGCAGATGCAAACATTATAGCACTTGGAGACCTTGGCAGTATAATGATATTTTACTGTTATCATGATAAATTATGTCACAATATGCTTTTTGAGCATAGCATGACTATCGTCAGTACTTAAAGAACACTGACTGACTACGTGCTGTGTTACAAAGTGAGCATAAGGAGGCCTGTTTAACTGAATTTAGTGCAGCGCAGTTTGCAAAATATTGAATAAAAATCATTGTAATTGTAGGTTTGTTATTATTATTATTATTATCACATTTTCCATACGTGGCACTACAAGTTCTATTCCATCTGTTCCAACTTATTAAATCTCAGAAAAACAAAATATAGTGATGCATATTATGTATTGTGATGTCTTGAAGTATAGTTATATATTTTTGCCATATTGCCTACCTCTAATATAGACACAATAAAAATAATTTTGCACATTAATAGGGCTAATTTGCTAACATTTCCACTGCTGCTCACAGTGGACGTGGAACACAAACGTAAAATATTGTTTTAATCTCACCTCCAGCGTCTGGGTGACCTGGGTTAATGTCTTAATTATGTATTTAGTATCTTTCCTTCTAGATCTCAGCACTGGTTCTTCTTTCAGACAGCGTCTTAACTGGAGGCTAGACTCTTAAAAAAGATGGTTCGTCAGTGGTTCTTTTGTATAGAAAATAGTTATTTACTATATACTATATACTATATAGAACCATGAACACTCAAAGAACTGTTTAGATGATTGAAGAGTTCTTCAGATTGATGGAGAACTTAATAACGTGCTACATATTTTCAACAGGAGGCACATGCTGCTCCAAAATGTGTGCATGTCTTTCAGTGTTAATGGTGCTTTTACATGTGTAAATTACCCACTAATAACTCCCATAAAAGGTAGGGTGACCAGACGTGCCCGTTTTCCAGGGACAGTACCCATTTTGGTGGTCTGTCCCCAAAAATGTCCGTTTTTAACTGTGAATTAAAAACACATTGGAAAGTCCTATGAAAGACCTTGCACCAAAGATGTGCAGACAGACCAACACAGGGGGCTGCTGCTATCTACTAACCACTTCTACCACTCACCCGCCTTGTTTTAGAGAATACTGCTGTGTAGAACTTGACCAGAAGCTGGCAAGTGTCAGCTGAATCCACATCATCATCACAAATATCTTTTCAAGACATGAAGTGACCCAGGGTTAAAACAAAGGTAGTGTTTTAGGACTTCAAACATACTACCATCTGATATGTATGTACATATAATGTACTTGAATTTAGCTACCATGTGATCTACAAAGCTATTTAGCAACAGCCAGGAGTTTCTTTTTACTGCCAAAATAATTACAATGAATGTCATTCAATGACAATCTTTTTTGTCATAAATGTATCCCTGCTTCATCCCTGCCTGAGCCGCTAGACTTAGCAGCTTTATTTCTACAAAGATTTTCTAACACAGTTTAAAAGCTATTTAGTTAGTACCCAATTTTATCAGTCGGCCTTCACCATAGAGTGTTACAGTACAAGTTACCATCGTCAAAATACATAAAATTGGAACTGTTGCCCCTTTTTATTTCATAGATGAAAACATTACATATTTTAATGATACAGTGACTGCTGAACTCTAAATATCCTTGGTTTTCATTTCAGAAATCTGGCCACCTTGATAAAAGGACAGAGCTTGGATTTTGAACTTTACACTGGTAACAATCTGAGCTGGGCTCCCTAAAGTAACAATGATTCCTAAATGGTAGAGCGAGCATTACAATGAACACTCACTCTACCACAGGTATGTCAACCTGGGGACCTAAGTACTGTGGAGATTTGTGTTTACTCTCATCTAACGCTCTCAATTCAGTTCAAGAAGTCCTTGCTATTAAGGTGATGCACTGAATCAGGTGTGTTTAATGAGGAAGCGTTCTGGCATCTGCAGTGTTTTGGCCCACAAGGACTGAAGCCTTACATGTGTGCTCTACCAGGTAAACAGACTATTTGCTGATGCGTTTTTTGGCAAAGTGGTGAATCCTTTTATATCCAATCATGAGTGTATCACATATTTTAAAATGTTTTCTAAATATTTAACAATGATCCTGATCTTAAACTGCCACTGTCCCAACTTTTTTTTGAAGATGGTATTTCAGAATGAGCTAACATTTATAAAAATAATGAAGTTTCCTGTCTTTGTACTGTTCAAGAACAGGTCAAAGCAGATGTAGAAATCACTGCTTTCAGATTTTATTTGTATTTTATGTACTTTTTTTTTTTAAACTGAGCTATTACTCGTAATTGGAGCCTCCTATGGCCATGATCCATCCCTGTCTTGTTCGTTGACAAATTGTGGGGTTGAAAGCCACAACTAATGCACATTTTCAGTA